GTGTGTGGGGGTGTGTGTGTGTGTGTGTGTGGGTGTGTGTGTTTGTGTGAGAGCCTGGTGCCATCCAAGAAGATGGCAGCTATGTCATACAGCCACATATTTGCCTGAAGAGAAGTGCCCTTCCATGATTGTGAAGGAATTATGAAAGAGATTTTCTCCTCACAGCCACACTTATTTCTCCTCACAGCCACACTTAAAGGATGAGCCACTCCCCAACTCAGATATGGGACCATTTACTGATGGGAGCCAAAGCCTACAACAGGGGGATAGCCCTCCTATCAACAAACTCAAAGCTGCAATATGTGGAGACAGGAGACCGCTTACCACCCGGGGGGGGGGGGAAGAAATTTAAAACAGGGGCCAAATCCTCCAGGTCCTAGAAGGTGTTGAACCCCCCAGGGGAGTGGCAATGGTGCAATGCTAGGCTCACACAAACAGCCGAGGTCTAGCCTGCGAAGCCACAGATCCTCAGCCCCCATTACCCGCTAGAAGGCGTTTACACTCCAGATGCTCCCAAAGCGCCCCTCATATAAGCCAGAAGAAAGAAAATGAGCACCTGATGAAGAAGCTACTAAAAAATCAGAAGACTGTCGCACGCCTTTAATCCTGGCGCCTGAAAAGCACAGGCACGTGGATCTCTGTGAGTTTGAGGCCAGGTCTACAAATAAGAGTCCCAGGACAGCTAGGGCTATACAGAGAAACCCTGTCTTTAAAAAAAAACAAAAAATCATCTTCATTATCACCGTCATCAGGAGGAGGAGTGGCTGATTAAGTCACAGCAAACAAATGGGACTGCAAGAAGAAACAAAGTCGTCATGATCACCACAAGAGATCAACACTCTTCCTCTACGATTGATAGAACAAGTGTAGAGACAGCAGGGCGAGCGTGGAGGAAATGCAGGTCAGGGCCAGAGCTCTGGCCAGGCCTGCACAAGACCCTGAGTTCAGCCCTCAGTACAAGAAGCAGAGGAAGCAGGATAAGGAGGGCCAGGAAGGGGAGCGGGAGGAAGAAGAAGAAAAAGAGGGAAAGGAAGCAGAAGGAGCAGATGCAAGAATTAAAACACGCCCCCCCCATAAGCCTGGAATTTTCCAGAACACTTACTCAACAGCTGTGGCATACCCTAGTGCCCCTCTTACATTGGGAAGCCAGCAGGTACAGCCGCACTCCACGGTTAGGCTTCGGAGATGCTAGTTGAAGACCAAAGAGAGCTGAACACCAAGCCTTGGGGTCACGCCCTCCTTGAGAATAAGGAGCGGAAGATCAGGAGAGCCTGGCTGTGAGGGAGACCCAGGCCAGGTGTGGAGGGTTGGTGACACTGACCACAACACTTTCTGGGAACACAAGGACTGGGAAGGAGAGCTGGAAGTGTTCACGGCAGGGTTCGTTGCACTGATTTCCAAGGAGTTTACCAGAAGGAGCAGTAGAGATATGGTGCTTATGGGGATGTGACAGGGTTCTTGCTCTTTCTTACCTTGCTTTGCTTTGCTTTGTTTCTGAGACGGAATCTTCATGTGTAGCCCAGGCTATCCTGGGATTTGTGATGCTCCTGCCTCTGCCTCTCTAGTGCTGCGATTTAACAGATGTTCATCCTGGACCATTTTAAAGAAGTAGGCTGGGTGAGGGAGGTAAAAATCAGCAAGGCTAGCCAGGCGTTGGTGGCGCACGCCTTTAATCCCAGCACTCAGGAGGCAGAGGCAGGCAGATCTCTGTGAATTCGAGGCCAGCCTGGTCTCCAGAGTGAGTGCCAGGATAGGCTCCAAAGCTACACAGAGAAACCCTGTCTCGGAAAAAAAAAATCAGGAAGGCTGAGGGAAGAGGGGTGTGGGCACCCGGGGAGTAGTGATCTTGGCTGGGGACATAGGTTTTGGTAAGAAATGTAGCTGGTACCAATAGACAGTCTGAGAGGGAAGGAGTTAGGCCCTGCCAGGGCGTCGAGGGTTCGGGTGAATTGGCTGCCCAGGTAGACGCTCTTTGGTAAATCTTCCCTGTGGATGGTGGGGTACACCAGGTGGATGGGGAGGTGGGGATGGAAAGGAGGCCCCTGAAAGTGAGAGAAAATTCCCTACCACTAGAGGGCGTGAATGGATCATTCTGTTACTGTTGGCGAATGACTTCCCTAGGACCTGATTTAGTTCAATACTCACCCTAAGGCCCATTTAACACAGAACCAAGACAGAAAGAGAGGTGGATCCTGGAACAAGCTTCATCCAAAAGCGTTCTTCAGTGAGGTGAAATGCCAGCTGTGTCCTCCAGCAGCGCCTAACAGCCCAAATGGTGTAGTCTGGGAAGTAGGCAGGGAAGGCCCAAACCTTTATGTACTCTGAGTACCCGAGGGCTTGGGAACAAACAGTAAGCAAATGTTTACTGTTTGCCACACCTGACAGTATTGTCAGCAGTAGGGTTGATTATGAATGAATGGCTCGACGTGAACCAGGTCTGATAGGACACTCCATGTCCCCAGTGCTGGAATTACAGGCCCAAATAGGATGAGTTGGAAGCTTGCTCCAGTTTGAAGTCAGCGTGCTCTATATAGTGAGTACTAGGCCATCCAGGGCTACATGACAAGACCTTGTCTTTATTTTATTTAATTTAGTTATTTGTTTGTTTTTGAGACAAGGTTTCTCTATGTAGCTCTGGCTATCCTGAAACTCACTATGTAGACCAGGCTGGCCTCAAGCGCAGAGATCTACCTGCTTTTGTCTCCTGAATTCGGGGATTAAAGGTGTGTGCCACCACCGACATGCTAAGACCTTGTCTTAAAAAAAAAAAAAAAAAAAAAAAAAAAGAGGCCCATATGGGATTCAGACAAGGGGTATAAGGCAGCATAGCCTGGACACTGTGGTTTGACAGGGGTCCCCGTGGGAGACTGCTGTGCAGGGTGGGAGGGAGAGCAGGAGAATGAGTCTGGCACCAGCTGGGCCCCAGAAGTACTCCATGCAGTGTTTAAAAGGGATACTGGGAATGGGCAAGATCTGTATACAGCATATCAGCAATTTATGACAAAATTATATGTACTCTAGCAGCTACCATCACCCCCATCAGCTGAGACAGTTCTCCCCCCAGCACCTCTCAACAATTGAAAGCAGATCCTGTCATAGACAGGAAATGATGGAAAGGTCAAGGTAGGGTCCCATCCCCACCCGGAATCAGCTGAGTCCTATGCCACCAGGCAGAAAGGTACCTTCAAACAAGCTCTGTTCCCCATCGTCCCATCATCCCTGTCTGGCCAGCCTCTGGGATGATGCACTTAGATGTCTCAGCAGCCTCTGTGCAGCAAGCAGCTACTCAAGTGTGCCTATTCTTACTGTATTGAAAACAAACACGTTCAGAGAAAAACAAACAAACAAGCAGGTTTTGTCTGCTTTTAACTTTTTGTAGATGAACTGTTTCTGTCGTCTTTGAAATAATGATGATAATCCCAAGTCTGAGGCTGCTATCTGTCCCCTGACTTGGAGCCAGGGTGCAGACGTGCGGGTCCCTTGCATGACTGCCTGCCTGCATTTCCCAGGAAGATGCTGATTCATTCATTGTAGCCAGTGTGCAATCAGCCCCCGCCCCCAAGTCCCTGCAGGGTTCCAATCTCAGCCCTTTTTTGTCCTTGTTCCTGTCTCTGCAGGTTATGCAGTGGGAAGCGGTGGTAACACAGCTCCTGGGGTAAAGTGGGCATTCAGTACTGGTCACTGCTGGTGCTTCAGCATTTCCATAGCACCAACTCAGGGTCTGTCCCCTCACCTCTGGAAAGGTTATTTACAACTTCTTGGACGCATCATACCAGAGTGGACTAACGGAGAGAGGATGGGGATACTTATCTGTTCTCTCTCTCACACACAAGCTTCTAGAAGAATCATCTGACTAGTTCTGGGCTCCCATCTGCAGCCTCTGGGACCTGGCACTGGGTAATTGCACAAGGGATAAGCATATTGTAGGGCTCACCGTTTTCCAAAGATGATTTGGGAGAATCAAATCATGCCATCATCAGCCTACCAATCAGGACTCGGCTTTCTAACTGCATTATCATATTTTTAAAGATGGCTTAGCTCCCTGTACCCAACTGAAAAAGCGAGTTATGAATCTGAACTTTCGAAGGCCAATTACTATCCCTGAGAAAGGAAGCAAGCAGCCCGATTCTGGCCCTTTTGTTCTCCGTGTATGGGAGGAGGGGGCAGTGAGTCAGAAGCAGGGAAACTTAGTTGAGAGGCATCCCAGCCCCTGCCGACCCAGATTCTTGAGCCCACAGGACGGCTTGCAGGTCCAGGGCTTGAGCAGTACTGCTGTCAGTGGATTCAATCATGAGGGTCCTCCTCTTACAGACACATCACTCTTGCTTGGTAAATGACACTGTCTTCCCAAGTCAGGTCCCATCACATCTCGATGCTCTCTGCAACCCAGGTTTCTTTGGACCTAACCTTATAATGCACAGCAGCCGTCGCTCCACCCATAACCTTCCCTTCCTAGAGGCCGGTTCCTCAGCTGAGAACGTCTCCCCTTCCACCCTTTTCCCGTGCCGGATTAGCGAGGCTAACTGTGGGCACGCCCCTCATCTCCTCTTCCTCCCCAAAACACATCTTCCCATGTGTATCTAAAACCGGGTGGGCTGAGGTTGACGGAGGCACTCCAGGCTCGTTTACGCATTCAATGGGAGGCCTCGGGCTGTTTAGAACAACGCCGGGCCGAGGACGAGTGCTCACTGAATGTCGACTCTCGTCAACGCATTCCTCATACACTACTCGTGGAGCCCGGGATATATAGTCTCTGC